AGGCTGCCCAGAGAGGCTGTGGAGTCTCCTTCTCTGCAGATCTTCAAACCCCCATGGATGCCACCCTGTGCCCCGCGCTCTGGGTGTCCCTGCTGGAGCAGGGGTTGGACTAGAGCATCTGGAGGTCCCTGCCAAGCTCAACCATCCTGGGATTCTGCGTGATTCTGCGCTGGAGCCCGGCGTCCCGGGGGGACGCGCCGGGGCCGCCCGTCCTGCAGCCCCGCTCCCGCTTTATCACCGTAATGGCGGCCGCAAATTGGTCGCCTAAGTGGATTCTGCCTGTTACTGTTCTCTCTTCCCACCACTTAATTCAATGATACAACACATACCTCTCTTCCTCCTACAACTTAATTGAATGATAAAAACCATATCCCAGTCAGAGTGAAAATAAAACGCTGCTAAGTTTGTTTTTTTTATATAGGTAAACAGTCTGATTTCAGTGGCCTCAGGCTTCACCCCCGCTGCCACATGGATTTCACACTTCTTCTCTGCTTTTTCACTGCATTGACCCCTGTGGTTGTTATTAGTCTTTATAAAAATCTCGGATTTATAAAATGATTTTTGTATGCTCTTTTATTAGGACCTAAGTTACCGGATTGCCTCCAGCTTTGCAGCAACCGAAGCAGCATGAAAACAAGAGGGAGGCAGGAGGCCAGCGCAGGTGACCCGCGGGTGCTCCCTGCCCGCAGCCCCCCGGCAGCGGGGCCGGTACCGTCTGCGATGCAGCCCCGAGATGGATGGTGGTGGCACATGTGCGTGCCTGTGTGTACATATGTGTGCATGCTGCCACCGCGGGCAGCGGGATGGAGGGCCAAGGCACCTCCTGGCTCTGCAGGACATGGCTCTGGGGCCGGGAAGAGGCCGTCCAGCTCCATAGCTGCTTGCAGCCCCGGCGCTGCACGGCACTGAGGCCGCTCGTGCCGGAAGAGCCCCCGGCGGCAGCTCCCCACAGCCGCTCACATCATTCCCGCTGTCCTGGTGCTCCCCACAGCCGCTCACATCATTCCCGCTGTCCTGGTGCTCCCCACAGCCGCTCACATCATTCCCGCTGTCCTGGTGCTCCCCACAGCCGCTCACATCATTCCCGCTGTCCTGGTGCTCCCCACAGCCGCTCACATCATTCCCGCTGTCCTGGTGCTCCCCACAGCCGCTCACATCATTCCCGCTGTCCTGGTGCTCCCCACAGCCGCTCACATCATTCCCGCTGTCCTGGTGCTCCCCACAGCCGCTCACATCATTCCCGCTGTCCTGGTGCTCCCCACAGCCGCTCACATCATTCCCGCTGTCCTGGTGCTCCCCACAGCCGCTCACATCATTCCCGCTGTCCTGGTGCTCCCCACAGCCGCTCACATCATTCCCGCTGTCCTGGTGCTCCCCACAGCCGCTCACATCATTCCCGCTGTCCTGGTGCTCCCCACAGCCGCTCACATCATTCCCGCTGTCCTGGTGCTCCCCACAGCCGCTCACATCATTCCCGCTGTCCTGGTGCTCCCCACAGCCGCTCACACCATTCCCGCTGTCCCGGTGCTCCCCATGCCGCTCACCCCCATCCCGCTCTCCCGGCGCTCCCCGCAGCCGGTGCCAGCCGAGCGGGGTTGCGGCCGTGCCCGTCCCCGCACGTGTCCCCCCGCACCACGACAAACAGGGTCACAGCGCAGCGCAGAGAGGCACTTGAGGAGAAATTCTGCCAACGCTAAGTATAGTTTAAATGCCATTAAAGCGGGGAAGGGAAAAGGATACGAGTGTATTAATAGTGTCAACATTTAAATCTTTGGTGCAGCGACAGCTCCTGGGATGCGGCTCGCAGCGGGGCGGCCAGAGGCCAAGGGCATTGTGCTACCAGCGCTCGGTGCCAGGCGCCGACGCCTGCAGGGAAATTAAGGGCCTGGAGCAAGTGTAAGGACAAAAGCCCCTCTGCAAAAAAAATAAATAAAAAGAGAGGTGGCCTTTGATCTCCACATGGTGTCTTGAGATCTGGCCTGAAACGGCACTCACAACACCCTGGCATTTTTTTTCCAGTGCTGGAGTCTAAAATAGAAAGCAGGGGATTTAAACAACAAAATGGGGAAATCAGAACCTCTAGGAAAGGGGAGAAGGCAGGTGCGGAGCGGAAGCGGGGCAGGCGCACACAGCCCGCGGCGGGGCGCTGCCTGCAGCAGGCGCAGCCACACGATGGCCAACTCAAAAGGACACCAGCTTTTATTTACAACACTCTGCAGGGGACAGACAACAGAAGAGAGGAACAGTGACAGGCCAAGGACTCGAGCAAGGAAAGGTGAGGGCAGGCGCAGCTCCAGCGGGCGGACGGGCCCGCTCCCCCTGGGCCCCCCACGGCTGGCCCGTTCGCGAGGGTGCGAGGCCGGTACCGCCGCCTCCCCTGCTCGCCGGCAGCCCCGGGCCGGGCCAGCATTGAAGCTCCAACGCAGCCGAGCCCGAGATGAGCTGGGCCGGCACGGGCTCCGCGCAGCGACGCTTCTGCCATCCCTCCCTGGCCTCCTCCTCTCCGGGTGTTCTCGAGGGGCAGGAGGAGGGTGTGCTTGGGAAAAGCCGTTAGTAGTGGAACAGCAGAACGCTGCTCGGGCCAGGTGCAAGCAGATTCTCTCACTAGGAGAGTCAGCACTAACCCACCCACTGCTGCTCTCATGGAGCGGCCGCAGTGCCCAAGCCTGGGGCAAAAGCAGCCCCGGGCTCCACCTCTGAGCACCGATCACGCTCGGGGCTGGGGCCAGTGCTGCCACCCGTCTCTCCATCCACAGGGAGAGGAGCAGCTCCAGCACCACGGGGATCTGCACAAGGAAAACCTGGCCTCTGCTACGGAGCCAAGAGCTTTGTCAGCACTGCCCTGTCCCCAGCGCTGGCCACCCAGGGCCAGCTAAGTCCTCCCACAGGGGAGCAGGGAACAGGCACAGCGTCACCTGCGAGCAGGGCTGCTGCACGAGCTGCTGTTGGGCCGGGGCTGCCTCTCTGTCCGAGGCACGGGAAGGAACACGCTCTCCTTCACTCGCTCCAGCCCCAGGGAGTCCGGGGTGCCCAGAGGGAGCAGAGACCTAGCGCCGTCTCCGCTCTGCCCTGCGGGCCCGGGCCTCCGCGAGCCCAAGCACCATGGGCAGAAGCGCACGGAGAGCGAGGGAGCTGCGAGCCTGGTGCCAAGCGGGGAGGGAGAGCTCGAGGCCAGAGAAAGCTACGGGAAAGGGACAGGGATCCGTTACAGGAGGCTCTGGGAATCCTCGGAGAGCCTCCACACATCTTTGAATTCAGGCAGCTTCAGAGCCAGCCCCAAAGCTGATCAGCTCTCCCAGGGCAGAAGACAGAACAGAGAAAGGAAAAAACACACGCACACACACACACAAAAAAAAAACAAAAACACACAAAAAATCTCAAATTAAATCTGCTCGAGGACCATAGGAGACCAGCCGAATCCACAGGGACGACCTGCCTTAGGACTTCTTGGCATCCTGTGTGTTCCTCCTCTTCAGATCCCCCAAGTCAACGGGTTTAAATGCTGCAGGGTCGGGGAGGAAGAGAAAGATGGAGAGGAGGATAAAGATGGAGAGAGGGATAAAGATGAAGGGGGGGAGCAAAGATGAAGAAGGGCAGACAAGGCCGGAGGCGGGGGCCCCGCTCACCTTTGAGGCTGGGGTTGGGCATCTTCTCCACATACTCCTCCACCAGGCCGCGCTCCGAGCCCATCTGGCTGCGCAGGTCGCGCTCCACGCACTGCCAGGCTGCGGGACATG